TGTCTTTAAAGGGTCAGTACTTGTGCTGTGACAGGATTTTTGATTCATATCTTGGAGATTGATTTGAAATTTGAAATTAAAATCTTTGCAAATTCAAGCATTATTCTTTTCCTAAGGATCTTTAAGCATTTCAGATGTGTATGGTCCATGCTCAGTTTCACCTGTTGGCAGCCACTTGGGCATTTTCCAAAATTTTTCTGAGATCTGATGAGTAACTACTCCCCTTAGCTGCCAGCAGTCCTGTTGGGCTGCGATGCATGGATAAGGAACAATGTGCAAGAGCTAAATGTTTCTGTTGTAGGACAAGGCTTAATAATATTGGATCCTGAGATAGTCTGCTAAGTGTTGAATATGCAGCAAGATTTTCTAACGTGCTAAGCATCTAATCACTCCCACTGACTTATGATGGTTAAGCAAGAGGGCAGCTGACAAAGAGTGGGAGAAGGGGTTGTTAAACTGATGTCAGAGGATGATTTTCAGGGAGTACAGTGAAAATTTTCTGAGTGGAGAAGTAGGAGGAGCTATATAAAAAAAAATTGCAAAACTTTTCAAGGAGAAGGAGACATGGAGGTGACACGTAATACAGGGATGTGTTTTCAGGGTAAAGTAAGACCTAGATACTGTGTATGATTTCAGCTATAGTTTCTGTCTTTTTTCTACTGCTTCTAAGTTGAGAATAGCCTAAGTGTCCCTTATCTTATCTGGAGAATAGTCTATTTACTTGAATAGTAAATTTACTTGAAAATTTCCTTTTTATTTGTTGGAAAGTGAATACTCAGCACTTGCACATGTTTATCTTTGTAGTTTGCATGGAATTCTAACTTTATAAAGAGCTGCAGTAACATAACAAAGTATTAGTATTGTCAAGCTATGGTAAGCTATTTAGAGTTTTGAAGTCCTAGTTTTTCATTTACAGCTATGCAGTTTGGGCACAACGGTAATGTTAGGACAGACTTGTTAATTTGTCTTTATTCTGGTGCCCTATACATAGGAGTTTTTTTACATTGTTATAACCAACTAAACATGAAGAACTTCATGAATGCATTCACATATCAATATACATCTTTCTGTAACTTCATAGGATACTATGTTATTTCAGTGTCCTTACTATTATAAGCATAAATTATACTGGTGATTATAATGGTGTGAATATTTTTATATTGGCTTAACTGCATGACCACTAGGGCTATTTGTACCATTTTGATCAGACTGACATACTTGAAGATGCTACAAGCTTTAGATATAGCCGAAGTCTTAGTGTCATTAGGAGCTAGCCAGCATTGTCTACATAGAAGAAAACAAAGGAAATCCGTCTGTCCCATCTCATAGGCATTGTAAGTGTTTGCTCTCATCCTTAAACATCTCTCAGTAGAAACTATCTTTACGAAGTGTGAATAAGTGTACTTACAAAAATGTAGTGGAAATGGAAATTATTACATAATAGTGAAAGGAACTGAAACTAAGCACTGTGTCATCTGGAAATTCTCAGTTTAAGTGCATAACAGTCATAGTGACAATCATAATATCGTTGTGCATTTTGGTAAGTTTGTTTTACTCAGCTGATGTCAGCTGCAGGATTATTTTTGCCTTTATTCAACAAAAATATGTAACTACCTGGTATACCATTAAAAATCTGTTGTATTAACTTTGTGAAATGTGACCCAATTAATTAAGTGGTAATGTGTCAATTTGTCTGCTGTTGCTTAAAGTAGGTTATAAAATTTTGTAATAAAGCATGTAGAAGAAAACATTTTAATTCACTTTTAAGAGTAGTTTAGTTCTTTGTTCACAGAAGGCTTTCATCTTGGCCATGTAAGTAATCTGTTCTTCGACAAGTAATTAACAAGAAGAATTAGTTGTTTATAATTCTGTTAGGCATAACATTCAGTCACGTATCTCTGGGCCAGTTTTTTTTGGGTTGTATAGTTTTCATACTTTTCTGTTCCTATGTGAAAGAAGAGCTGCAGATACAAGTTCTAAAATCCCACTGCTGCTGTCATGGTATTGACAAATATTATCTCACAAAACAAGTGTATTTTCCCTCATATTTTTCTTCTGCATTTTAACCTGAGCAGGGGAGTTTTACTGCAATCTCTGTATCATGAGTATGGAAAGACGAAGTTAAAAATAACGAAAACACTACAGAAATAAGCCAACATAGTATTATGAATACTGGGCAAAGCACTTCATGGGTGTGTTTCTTTGAAGGAGTTCCAGTTCCTCGTGTCCTTTTGTTGTTGAACATACAGAGATTTTGCAGATACGAGCTACATTATACAAACAGTATACCGACTCGAATAATTCAGAATTTCCAAAGTCAACTTGATGGAATGGCATATAGAGAACTAGAGCCTGAAGTACCATCCTTTGCTATGTTGGCCTATGCAAGAGAGCAGAGAGCCATAGTGCTGGCTCCTTTTTTCCTTTGATTGATATTTGAAGGTGACTTTGTCACCGATCAGCACTTGTGCTTGGGGTACTGCAAAACCAGCCAATGTAGTTGTACTCCTTGCTGAGAGTACAAAAGAGCACAAAGATTATTTGTGTCTCACCCTCAGCACCCCTGTAATCATACCATGAAATGGATATCCTTCCTCTCAATAAAAATATGGTTTATTTCCCTCATGAACTGCTTTACACAATTGTAACTATGTTAAGATATCAAATATCTTTATGGCTTTTCTTGACTTCAATAAACCTTGGCATGCATTCTATGAACTCTCCTTTCCCATTTGTAGGTAACGAGTCATTGATAATGTGGTTCCTAGGTACTAAATGCTTCTTTTCCCCCCACACTCTTGAATTTCTAAGTTCAAAAAAGTCTCACTCTTCAGCTTAGTCTGCCATGGAACTTTGTTTCTCTGAATAGCTCTACTCAGCTCCATTCCTACGAGGGCTAGCTCCTGGTACCCAGGCTAGCTAGTTGTAGGCTACCTCATCTATATTGCACTACATTGCAGTCGCCCTCATAGGCACATTCTCAGTGTTACTTCACCTGTAAAGGAAACTATGTAAGAATTTATAAATATTGAAAAGGAATGGCATTGTATGTCATATGAAGCAGTCATAGAAAAAACTTCTCAATTGCAGAACCTTAATGAGTTAGACCACAGATTTACCCTCTCTTTTGTGTATGCTTCCCCACCAATTATGTGCTACTCACATCTCACATCTTATCTAGTCCCAGTAAGCATGCCATACAAAAATGCTTTTGGCACAATTACTCTTCTATCAGGATTTAGCCTTTTGCTGTAAAGTTGTGACTACACCAGCACCAAGGTACATGTCCTCCCCATTTGGTAAAAGTAGATGCAGTGGACTATCTGGCATTTAATGGGCAAATTCAATGTCGGTATGTATTCTGGTGTTTGTCTCTCTTCTCTCTAGGTTGCATTTCAGTGTTTTAGATCTACAGGGTATAGCTGCCATGCTGCAAATACAGATGGAAGTGAATTGGTTCAGTTCTTGGTTCAGTAACCATTTTAGCTGTTAGATGACTACTGGGAAGACTTTACTGTTTAAGACTGTCAAGGATTTATGCATATATCTCTTTCACAGAGAGTTTTAAGCCAAAGACAGAAAATATAAATTTATATTTATTTCTAAGAGTATGTTGTGCTGTGTGGGTAGGCTTTGTGAAACTGCTGCTGGAGACCAGAGGATAGCACTTTTATTCCAGGCTAATCTTAGGGCCCCACAAGTGGATCATGCTCATGTGAAAGGCAAATCAGTTTTCAGAACTGCAAACTCCAGCTTTTGATGGGGCTATAGCAAATGTCTAGGTATGTCTGCCAGGTTAGCAGCCTAGTCTACAATACTGCATAGACAATTTTAACAACAAGAAGTGTGGTTTATGTAAGGAAAACTTTTGCCTCCTGTGAGCTCTCAGACTGGTATTAAACAGTCTATAGATTTTACTAAAATGGAGCTAGCTGCTCCATTCAGCAGAGCTAGACAGACACAATCACTTTGAATGAGAAAGAAGAAAAGGTTAATGTGGAGCTGTTGGGTGAAAGACAGTCTTTTCAAATTTGCCATCCTGTTCAAGATCATCAGCTCCTAAAATCAGTGTCACAAATAGGGTCATGAGCTCAGAATTTAAATGTAAATTAAGTTGTACATACCCAGACATAGAGGTCTGAAAGGAAATTTTGGGCTCTTCTGAGCCATCTCATCAAAGAAAACTTTAGCCAATGTGCCTGTGGTTTTAGTCTGATCAAAACGTAGAAGTTTTAGTGTAAAATGATAATTTAGTAAGCCATACCAAAAAAACAACAGAAATAGCAGAAATTAATTGATGCCAGATATTATCAGAAGAGTGGGACAAATGTGTGCAAGTGGTCAAGGCAGCAGCCAAACAAGTGTAAGTTCCTATATCTTCATTGCTCCATTAGGTACAAGAAAGCCGTATATGTGATGATAGTCCCAAAATAGCAGATGAGAGTAAAAGTAAAATTTTAGCTCAAGTGCATGTTGGCTTTAATTATGTAATACAGAATGTTTTGCAGTCAGGGTACTAATGAGTTGCTAATTCCCAATCAGAATAAGAGATGAGATTCACTGTGTATCTATTAACTAGCCAGTCTACTCCATACTAGCTGGAGCCAGCCACTACAGCTCCCCTGGGAAGTACTTCACTAAGCATGATGTCCTCGTGGTTTAAACGAGGGTGGAATGTGTGATTTAGCCGTATTTGTTCTCGCAAAATGTCCCGCATGGTGTCAACCAGTAAGTGTGTAATCTTTAAACTGGAGATGTCTGCGCCCAATAACAACAATTCCCTGTAAATGAGTTCTTAAATATGTTTTGTGCTTCTTTAAAGAATCAGAAATATTTCTTTTAATTATGTTAGCTGTCTGGCATTCTGCTTTAATAATTCATGCACTTCAAGCATATTTCTTTTCTTTTTGACATACTGTCAAAAAAGTAGGCAAAATCAGTTAAATAATTGAGAACGTGTGAACTGCCATAAACAATCACTCTTGTTTGTTTCTCTGCAGAAAGAAAGGAAGTGAAGGTGGGAGAGTACAATGCTGTGGCTGACACACTGGAAATAATCAACAACAGCATCAAGTTCCAAGGTAGGAGAGAAAACTGGAAAGAGGTACAGGAATAACATGGATAGCTGTATGTAGTTTATAAGACTGTATGCTGTTAAAGAACTGTTTTAGAATTTTTAATATCAATTAGCTATGACATTGTGTAAAGAGAAAGGGAACTGAGGTGTGCTGAAAAATAAAAAGTCAAATTCTGAACAGAAAATCACAATGATTTTATATTGTAGATGTGTTTTTCATTCCAATGACTAGGACAAATTCAAATTTATATGTATGCGCAAATGTTCTTTGATATTTCAACAAGCTGCAGATACGTCTTCTGTTTCATTTCCACCAATCAATAGCGTTTGAATTTCACCCCCATTTCCTACTTCTCCAGTTTGTCTCACCTGACAGGTGCTCTTGTGTGCTGTATTTGCACACACAAGGAGGTGGTGGTTGTTTTTCTTTGGAAGGTGTCTGTTAGTCAGTTAGGAAAAAGATATCAAAATATAAAGGCTAGCATTAAGACAACCCATGTGAAACAGGACCAGAGAGGGTGTTCTGCCCAGCAGCACTCCCAAGGTCCACAGCAGGCATTTAGCCTGTGTTGCTATACCTTCTTGCCATTTTTTATCCCATGCTGCTCCACAATTAACATGGGGACATCCTCTGCCCTCAATGCAGTTGGAGTGTGGGCATACCCACAGCTTTCTGCGCATATGATCATGGCAGCCAGATGTCACCTGAAATGAGTTTTAAGCATCTCTCCTGTTGAATATAGGCATATACATTCTTTTTAAAGCTAATAATTAAGATTTAATCTTAAGCTTTGCTATGGTGGAATTCAGTAATGGAAAGTAAAGTCGACTTCATGAGATCTGTGTGGTATCCCCTGGGAGTGGCAGATGAGCTGCTATATACCGTGCTCTACTACAGCTGCCTCCAGTGTCGCAACGCACAAGGTTTGCATGAGCATGACTGGGGTTTCACTGCAGTGATCTGATCCATGACTGCTTCTCCATCTGCTGGAGGTTTCCACCATTCATTTTGATATCGTTTGCTGGACAGCTATCTGCTGGAGGAGGTTTGGAACTGAAGTGTGCAGAACCTGTCCCATTTGCCAAAATCTGGGACCCGGTAGATTATTTTTGTTGCAAGGAGGAACTGATGTAGTTGAATGCTGATTCAATGCCATTAATTTCCAGACAATATATGCAGGATGAAGCAAATAATAGGAGACAAGTTTTGTTCATAACTCCATGCCTTTATGGACAGTAGATGATGGGAATAATTTTCTGTTCAGGCTTTTCTCAGGATCAGACTCCTAGTCCTTGTTCTGACCACATCTGGTGTTCCTTCATATGAAGATGCATTATGTGACTCACACCGAATCTTCTCCACTTACACAGTTTAACTTTTCATTGAGGCAGTCATGTATTCAATGTGGAGGTCACTGTTACATCTTCCAGGCAGTATAAAAAACTTAGTAAATTTAAGTATTTGAAATGAAGAGTAGTAAATACAGCCCTGTTTAAACTGTTGCATAAAATTGCCCACAGGAGAACAATGATTCATTACATTAGATGCAGCAGAATTAAACGGATATTGCACAATTAGCATTTTATAGAATCACTGGTTGCTTATATTTAATAAAAACAAATCATTAACAAACACTGTATACTTTAGATAAAGCAGGGTAGGGGTTTTTCTTTTATATTACTTCTTTTAATTCAGTCATGTGCTTTACTGTATTTTTGGCTTGTTACTTGTTGCCTAATTTTGTGAACTGTCATGCACTGTAAATGCATGCTGTAAGGTGGGAAAGGGATAAGGGGAAAATCTTAAGGGGAAAATCTCAGGTACATTTCTACAAGATCAAATCAGCAAATGGTCCCTTGACTGCCACTTTATAATGATCACCTGAAAGAATTATATTTTTTTGGTGGAAATGTTGGGCATAAAGACCAAAGGATAGCAAGTTTCCATTACCTCAATTGTTTCAGCCTAATTGGTATGGATAACACCATTTTACTGTATAAATCCTTGGATGTTTTTCTAGGTCCAAAGCAGAAGAGTGGACGTGAAATTTAGCTATGGTAGCTGCCAGTCAGTTACTTACAGCTCTGCAATCAGCAGGTCCACAGAGCTCTGCCTGTGCGGCCACTTTGTGAAATGATGCTGCTCAGCCCTGTGTGGTCATCCTCACAGCCCCATGGAGAGCTGATGTGAAAGGCCTTTTGCCAGTCCCCTAGTCCAGGGAAAAAGTTAGTGAGCAGGTAAAATGGAGTGTAGGAAGTAGGGGATGCAGAGCTTTATTGCAGTTGTCGGAAAGTAATTCTTCTCATTAAACTGAGAAGCCTTTAATTAATGGAAGATGACTGTTGATCACATAGCTTTAAACATAGTTTTCAGTTCAGACGTTCAAGTTCAAATCTGCAGGGATTTGCAAAGGGAGTCTGTCCCTATACCCTTTACTGTCTGTCCCCTAACCCTTTACTGTTACTTTTTCCATCTTTTTCCATGCTGTAGAGTTCTGAGGGCACCAACAGCCCTGCCTCCCCAACATCCTGGGCTTTCCCCACTCTGCCCAAAGCCTGGGACCCCATTTCAGCACCGCAGGGCCATCAGTCCCTGCCCCAGTTATGCCACACCAAGGGAAGTCCCTAGCTGTTGTAGGTGTCTAGACAAGACACTTGAACTTGCCATGGCAGTAATGACAGTATGCAGAGAAATGCTGTTCTCTGTTTTCTACTCATTGCTCTGTCACTTGTTTCAGGAAAGCATAACCTCCTGGTAAAACTAACTGTCATAGTATGCATTTTAGTGTTTATTTACACTTTAAAATGAAGATAGTTAGCATGTATTTTACGGGGTTCTGCACTGGAGTTTTGTTGTGATTTTTCTTTCGAAGAGGATACTTACCTGCTCCAGAAATATAAACCCTCTTGTCAATCAATGTGACTAACATATGTCTGTCAAAGTCAATGATTTCATCAGCTACTGATGCATTTCACAATTGCTAAATCAGATTAATCAAGGTATAGTAGAGGCAAATTTCTTACAGAAATTCTACACCTGGCTGAGCTTTAGCCTTTTTTTCTTTCTTGTAATTCTAGGACTTGAGCCTCCAAAGGACAAAACAATTATACAGGAGGAGCTACGCAAGATCTCCCTGCCTCTCTACAGCATCCTTTCTGCCCTCACTATCCTAGGAATGATAATGGCCAGTGCTTTCTTGTTCTTTAACATCAAAAACAGAAATCAGAAGTAAGACACTCATGTTACTTCTGTCAGTACTTTTTTCATATTTAAATGCCATGTTTTTAGAGTCTGTTGTTTATATATATATATGGAAAATGATAACACTGTGTCAAGATGATATTTTAGAACTATTTATTTGAAATCCCTGTGTAATATATTCACATTGAAACAGGTTGTCTATCTGTTAAGACAGTTTCTTTTATACTGTCCAGAAAGTGCAATTTTCTTTTATTTATAATTGACTGTCTGCTATTAACATTAACCCTAGGTAATTAATCCATAAGTAAAATAAGAGGTCTTTTTACTAAACATTTAAAAACCTGAAATAATGCTAGACTTCATAAAACAGCAAATAGTGTGCATGCCTATAGATTTCATGGATTTCTACAAGAAGGGTTATCTGTTTGCCTGGTTACAAAAAGCTCTTCTTTATTGCTCTAATAGCCTAGCAGTAATCTTTTACTCTTTAATGCACTATCACCTTTTATCCATAGACTAATAAAGATGTCCAGTCCCTACATGAACAACCTTATTATCCTTGGAGGAATGCTTTCCTATGCATCTATTTTTCTTTTTGGTCTTGATGGATCCTTTGTCTCCGAAAAGACATTTGAGACACTTTGCACAGTAAGTAATTCCATATATTCTATTTGAAGATAGTCTTGCAGGAAGCTCTGTGAGAAATGCAAACAGAGAAGTTCAGTAGTTGGATGTCTCATTCCATTTAATCACTAATTCTCTTATTTCTTTCCTGGGTTATTTTCTGGGACCAAATTCTGAAACATACGCAAAGCTATATTATTATTATTATTATTATTACCTTAAACAGAGACACTATTACTACTACTACTACTACTACTATTACTACTATTACTACTATTATTATTGAAAGCTTAAGGTGCATTGGGATTTGGCCTCAGACTAAAAGAATAGATGTACTTTCTTGTTTTGAAATTATATATATGAAGATTTGTTAAAGACTGTGTTTGTGGCATGACAACTAGTAGTACCTGTGTTTTCTTTATAGATTCCTTATTATTTTATACTTCATGACTGCTGCTTGTCCAAGTCTTTTTACTCAATTTTTTTGACTGAATCTCCAAAGACTTCTAATTCCAGACTACACTATAAACTCACACAAGCCTAGATCCATGTAGAATATAATTCAATAATATCATAGAATCGTGGAATCCTAGAATGGTTTGGGTTGGAAGGGACCTTAAAGGTCATCTAGTCCAACCTCCACTAGACCAGGTTGCTCAAAGCCCTGTCCAACCTGGCCTTGAACGCTTCCAGGGAGGGGGTATCCACAGCTTTCCTGGGGAACCTGTGCCAGTGTCTCCCCACCCTCACGGTAAAGAATTTCTTCCTAATATCTAGTCTAAATCTACCCTCTTCCAGTTTAAAAACATTGCCCCTCATTCTATCACTATTTGCCCTTGTAAAAGTCTCTCTCCAGCTTTCCTGTAGGACCCCTTCAGGAATTGAAAGACTGAAATAAGGTCTCCCCAGAGAGTTCTCTTCTCCAGAATGAATAGGCCCGAGTCTCTCAGTCTGTCCTTGTAGAAGAGGTGCTCCAGCCCTCTGATCATCTTCATAGCGCTCCTCTGGACCTGTTCCAGCAGCTCCATGTCTTTCTTATGTTTGGGGCCCCAAAACTGGATGCAGTACTCCAGGTAAGGTCTCACCAGAGCTGATTAGAGGAGCAGAATCACCTCCCTTACCTGCTGGCCACACTTCTTTTGATGCAGCCCAGGATGTGGTTAGCCTTCTGGGCTGGAAGCACACATTGCCAGCTCATGTTGAGTTTTTAATTGACTGACACCCCCAAGTCCTTCTCCTCGGGACTGCTCTCGAGCCATTCTCAGCCCAGCCTGTATTTGTGCTTGGAATTTCCCCTACCCAGGTGCAAGACCTTGCACTTGGCCTTAAACTTGATGAAGTTGGCATGGGCCCACCTCTCCAGCCTGTCCAGGTCCCTCTGGATGGCATCTCTTCCTTCCAGCATGTCAACTGCACCACACAGCTTGGTGTCATCTTCAAACTTGCTGAAGGGTGCACTCAATTCCACTGTCCATGTTGCCGCAAAGATGTTAAACAGTACTGGTCCCAGTACCAATCCCTGGGGAACACCACTCATCACTGGTCTCCATTTGGACATTGAGCCATTGATCACAACTCTCTGACTGCGACCATCTAGCCAATTCCTTATCCAGCAAGTGATCCATCCATCAAATCCACATTTCTCCGGTTTCATGACCAGTATGTCATGAGGGACAGTTCCGAATGCTTTGCACAAGTCCAGGTAGATGATGTCAGTTGCTCTCCCCTTATCCACCGAAGCTGTAACTCCATCATAAAAGGTCACCAGACTGGTGAGACACGATTTGTCCTTGGTGAAGCTGTGTTGGTTACTACTGATCACTGCATCCTTATTCACCCTGTGCCTTAGGAGAGCCTTCAGGAGGCTCTTGCTAGGCGCAGAGGTGAGACTGGTTGGCCATTAGTTTCCTGGGTTTTCCTTTTTCCCCTTTTTGAAAATGGGGGTTATGTTTCCCCTTTCCCAGTCATCAGGAACTCCACCGGACTGCCACGACCTTTCAAATATGATGGATAGCAGCTTGGCAACTTTATCTGCCAGTTCTCTCAGTATCCGCAGATGGATGTTGCTGGGTCCCGTGGACTCGTGCACCTTCAGGTTCTTTAGATGGTCTTGAACCTGATCTTTGCTTGCAGTGGGCAGATCTTCCTTCTCCCGGTGCCTACTTTTGCCTTCTAAGAAAGGAGAAGGAAGAATATCCAGTCTTCCTACAGACAGAATGCAAATTCTCTGTATAGCTAGTAGAAGGGTGCCTCAAAGACTTCAAAAGGATGATCCTGTTCACCTCTCCCAAACTAGTATATAACTTTTTAAATATACAGGGGCCAATAGGAAGTGGAAGATGCCAGCATCCATTTTTCATCCAGCAATTATGTCCTTTTTTGTAAAACAGCTTCTAATGGAGCAGAAGTGTCATTAGGAAGCCAGTTGTTGATGCCAATCCCCATTCTTTTCTTACCCTTTGTCACAGAAGAATCTAGTGGCAGGAGGTGCAAATTTGAGGTCTACTGTCTGCTCAGCCTGGAGAGGCTTGTATTCAGAGCTCCTGACTACACTGCCAATGTAGGCCATTGTATGACTAGGCTACAACCCTCCTCTTGAAGCAGCCAAGCACTGCTGAGCAGAAGGAAAGAAAGTGGGAACCAGAGGTACTTATCAGCTCAGAGCTGTTCTAGGGAACAGATTTCCACCCAGATTTAGCTCTATAAAACTAAATTTAAGTCTTCCTTTAAATGTGAAAGAGCTCAGTCTTAATTCTGAAAAATGAACCATCATCCAAAATCCTGTGCCTCTGAGCTAGAACATTTCTGCTATCTGATTTTTTTTGTAATTTGCTTCTCAAAATGTAACAACTACTCTCATGTTCTAAATGCAACAAAATTTAAGTGAGGACTGCTTTGTTCTGTCTTATCTTACATATTTCTACTTTTATTTTCAATTTGTATCTGTCACATTATGTTAGGTCTGTTTGTCTGTCTGTCATAGAGAGGAAGATCTGGATGGGCACTTGAGTAAGATAACTACTTAACTGACCGAGAAAACAAAGGTGGGGGGTGGGTGGGGAATATACTGTGTTCTTAAAGCCAAATTTTGATTAAGAATTATTGCCACATGCCTTAAACAGAGATTTTTTTTTTTAACTTACTTAGTATCAACAGAGCAGAGTCTGTGAAATTTCTCCAATCTTGGCTTTCCAGATTTTCAGTCCAGTACAGAAGTGTTTCTGACTCTGCTTTTCTGTGCATGGCTACTGATTTATCTTATGAATCCCTGCTCTGTCAGCAATTACTATTACACTCATAAATGCAATAAACCCTTCAGAAGCAATCAATCAGGAATTTTTTTTCTAACCTCCTGCCCATTAAAGCAATTCTTATAAAATTTCCTCCCCTATAATTTTTTTTCAGTGGAGTAACTTATGCTTCTCTGATAAATCATATTAACATGGCTACCATTGACTGTGGCAATGCACCTTCCTTGTGTCTAGAAAGCTCTGAATTAATGCTGGGAAATTCATAAATATGGGAGACGAACTCACTTTTCTGTTCAGTAACTTGAGTCTCTCTTCCTTTCTCCCCAAAACATCCACTAAGTGCTCGGTACAGCATGTTCATATAGCTTCATGTAATGAACATCCCTATTTCCATATGAGTAATATGCTTAGCGGTTTCATAAGGACTACTTACAGATACCAGTTCTTATAGGATCAGGACAGTACAAATCTCTTTTGATCATTCATTTCCCTGGAAATGCATTATTTTGACTACCCATTCTAGCCATATTAGAGGTTAGTCTGACATTCTCGTTTTACGCAAGGCTGTGGCTGTGTCTTTCAAAGAATCAGCTACAATGGAGAGTGATCAGAAAAAGCCATTGAGCCAAAAACATGTGGGTATATCAGCTACATCTCAGACACAGAGAAGAGCAGTGTCAATGAAGAGTGAGATTTTTTTTTGTAGGGAAGTAAAAATTTTGATTCAGCTTTTATAATCAAATGCAAAACTGAAAGGCTGTCATTAGTGTTATCCCCTCTCCAAGCCAAGTAATCACCCTTTTTGTCTCCTATATTTCAAAAGCAATTAAATCTCACCAGAGTAGCAGTATATGCACAATAGCAAGTGTATTTAATTAGATATGTTACATATAGTCTCTGTTTAATTTTCTGATAATTTTTTGACAACAATTATAGGAGCTCCTTAAATGCTCCTGAGTCTACCCACAAAATTCCGGAAGAATGGTTTCCAAATTGTAGGTATTGCACTCCAAATCTACTGTGTGTGCTTCCTCTATAGCTCAGTGTTTGGAGAGTGAAGTGCTTTGCAATCTCTGGTCTTTCTGACTTTTCTACAACCTACATATACATATGGCATACATCTTATGCTGTAATATTCCAAGGACCCTGAAACATGAACCAAAATTACACCAGTAACACCTGAAAATTTTGAAGGATTTCTGTGATAAGTTGTACCACCATTTTTTGCTCTGTAAGATGCTGGTTGTAGGAGGATGTGGTATATAAGTCAACATGCTGAAACACAGAACCAAGTGTTAAATGTATTTGAGAGTCAACAAAGCACTTTAAACATATGGTCATATAATTTGTTGACTAGGTGTATTATATAAGTCTTTGAAATTATATAGTGTTGACTCTCTGCTAGAGCAGATAATTGATTCCCAGACTAACTCATTTTTATCTTGGTATGCCCATTTTCTATGGAAAAGTAATCAAGTATATTTAAATACATAACAATTTGTGTGTTTATGGTAAGAATCTATAATACTAAATGTAGAATTATTTGTTCCATGTAAGAATTTTAGGTTTGATGCCATATTCTAGAACTCCAATTACATGGAATTAAAACTATCCAAAGGTGTGAATTCAGTGTATTAAAGAACTGTTAGATAATGTCTTAGTTAATAGCAACTTTATTGGTTGTACAGAAAAAGGAAAAGCAATACAGTATTTCATTAAATGTATATGTATGCCAAAGTAGAAAGTGCTTCAGATAGGAGGGAGAGAGAGAGA